CTTTCAACTGATTGGATGAGGCCCACTCACATTATAAAGGGTAATCTGCTTTACTAAAAGTCTGATTTAAATGTTAATCGCATCAAAACAGACAAACAAAAACAAACAAACAAAAATAAACCCTTCACAGTAACACCTAGGCTGGTGTTTGAACAAAAAATGGGCACCACAGCCCAACCAAGTTGATACATCACATTAACCATCACACCAAATCCAAACTTTCAGTGAAATGAAGCAAAATTCTTCAATTGGATTATTATGCATCATGTACAAGACACTCTCGAGTCTTGGTTTCTGGACTCATGTATCAGGTTACGGTGGCTGCAGGTTTAGGGCATACACTGCAGCCTGTAGGAAAGTAGTCCTTATTTACACAGTATTGTTTCTCAGCTTCAATAACTAAACCTTCAGCAGGCCATTCCATCATTCAATAAAGCCCATTCCATCATTCAGTCAAGCCCACTGCTTCTGAATATTGAGGTATGAAGTAAGAATCATGAATTCCAAGGGCGATTCTATTGCCACACCCCTTTGGCTGTGAAACATGTTTCCTAGTTACAGGTGACATTGCAGGGGATGCCATGGTGATGGTTAAAGCTTTGTTCATTATGTAAATGGTTGGGGCATGGAAGACAAAACGGTCCCCAGAATATTATTCTGTCCCTATAAAGACTAACATTGCTTACTCTATGCTCTAAAGAGTCCAAAGTAATCACTATGCTACTAGTCCAGCCAGACACCTGGAAATAGTGCCAAATTACATGCTAACCTTGGTGAGAGAAATGTCATAATGCTGTGCCCATTCATAGTTTCCATCCCTGCTTCCATGTTCAATTTCTCATAGGCCCAGTGAGCAAGCCTGCTGGCAAAAGAGATTGACTGATTATCTACTAGATGAGTCATCTTATCTACCATACTATCAAGATCCATCTCTGCAGTGGATGCCCTCTCCATGGGCATCTATGTAAGACAAATATCTTCATGATCTGTGCACTTTACAAGGAATTCTTCAATGTCCTCTTCTCCAGATTTGCCTGCCATTAATTTTCCAGCCTTGTTCTTCACAAATCTCTCACCAAAAAAACCTGTTATCCAATGCTCCTAAATCAGTGCATATCCAAACTTCTGTGCCCATCTCCTTCTATAAAAAATTAACAACCAGCTAAACTGCCTGTAGTTTGACCACTGGGAAGTTTCTCTTCCTCACCATCTTTTGGCACCACCTGGAGGGGTACTGTGGTATAATGCCATTTGCTTCTTTCTGTTGCTGGTGTATAATGCAGATTCATTTGTAAAGTGGCCCATACTTTTTCCTTAATAGTTGGCTAAACATGAAATATGAGTGAGATCATGCAGGATTTGTCCCTTTGTGTTTGGCTTATTTCACTTAACACAGTGTCTTCTAGGTTCATCCATGTTGTGACGAGAGGATTCTGAATGCTCTCACTACAAAGAAATGACAAGTGTTTTAGGTAATGGATATGTTAATTATCTTGATTTGATCATTACACAAGTATACATGTATCAAAACATCATACTGTACCCCATAAGTATGAACAATTGTTATTTGTGAATTAAAAACAAAGTAAAATGAAATTTAAAAATAATTATACAATTTTAGGGGCTTCGGGGTGGGGGAAGAGGAAGTAAAAAGCAGACAGCAGGTACTCTAGGAGTCAGAGACACATAACATTAGTATGAGTCGGGAAGGGAGAAATCAAGTTATTGACATTTTTTACTCAGTTTAGAACCCAAAGACTGAAGAAACAGAAACAAATGGGGGAAATAATAACTTTTAAAGTATCAGATAAAATTTTTAAGAAAGTTAAATACTGCATTTCTCACTCATATACGAAAGCTAAAAAAAGAGTTGATCCCATAGAAATAAGTAGAACAGAGGATACTTCAGGCTGGGAATGGATAGCAGTGGTGGGGGAATGAGAAGAGATTTGTTAAAGGATACAAAATTATAGCTCCACTGGAGGAGTAAGTTCTAGTGTTCTATACCACTGTGGGATGACCATAACAATAATATATTCTGTATTTTCAAACAGCTAGAAGGAGGATATTGAATGTTCCCAGCATGAAGAAACGATAAATGTTTGAGATGATGGATATTCTAATTACACTTATCTGATCACTATACATTATGTATATC